CTGCATCTATCTGTTAACAGCCTACATGTATGTGCACATGCAGCAGTGGAAAGTATTAGATTTCACATGTAGGTAAGGCTTTGTTTTGGTGGCTTCACTAGCTGAAGGCTTCATTCACAACGCCGAGAATGTCTGGAAAAGCAGAGGGTTTCCTAGAGGGCAGAAAGTGGGTGGGAGTCACATAACCAGTGAGAAAAACATTTTTTTTTCATTCCTTGAAGTACATTCTGTTCTCCCTTTTGCTGCTAGAGCATTTGTGCAACTCCATTTCCAACCAGTTCAGTGCTATTGGGTGCTATGCGCTAATCTCTCCCTCCTCTGAGCTAGACACATTCCTCTGCAGCCCCTCCACACTTTCGTCACGATATTTGGGCCTCGCGTGTCGAGCCGAGCAGCCAAGACTTGAAGCAAAACAACCAACCATGTGCTGTGACAGTGAGCAGGCGCAGCTTTGACGTATTTAACGCTGTTGCATTAGCACATTAGCACTATGTGACCAAGTGTGTGGTGGACATGCTAGCCAGTTCATAAAGCTGCTGTTTGTCACTTTTTGACGCAACTCCTTACATCACAGCAGAAACCAATAACTAATTTTATGTGTTTGTGGAGTATCTTAGTCTAATTCATACACGTAATGGGCAAATTTCACATTATTCAATTAGGCTAATGAATCACATTAGCCTACATAGTCAATTGGATCGTGTTTTAGAGTGAAGCGTAATGCCTGGCTGTGATGTATCTGTGGTAAATATCTGACACAATCTATTTGGCAATGAGTGAAGCCTTTAGTTCAGAATAATTTTTGGAGGGGGGAACAAAGAGGACAGCTGTCCCTGGAGAACAAAGCAGACAAGCAGTCAGAAAAGGCAGTGAAACAGTGTGACCTATATGAGCTTCAGTTCAGCTAAAGGCCCCCATCAAAACATGATTAGCATCAGACATCACGTTCAAATTAACCAAATAAAGACGCTCCAGGCAGTTCCGTTTGCCTGGGGGGGTGCAGTGGGGAGTCCTTAGACATGCCTCGACTGTTACAGGAGCCTCTTGCCCTTACTGCTCCCTCGGTTTCCATGAATCTGTTACTGAGGCCGAATTTGCTGCAAGCTAATCCTCCCTTAGCATGGCAGTCAACAGTTTACAGCCACAGGCATAGCATGCAAGGACACTTTGCTTTCAAGGGAGCAAAGTTAGCAAAAATGACTGCTAATTTAATTTTTTGTGGTAACTTCTTTTAATTTGCATTCTTTTGTGAAGAGAGAGTAACTGCTGGCAATAAAGTGGAGTGAATGCATGCATATCCAGGAGTTGCTTAGATATATCAAGGACTTTTATGTTTGAAGGAGAAATGTAAAGAATTTTAAAGCATCAGCTGGCCCTGAAATTGCAGTGTGGTGTTCCATAGTGTTTAAACCATTTACTGTACTATACCACACAATATTGTACTATACAAAACAATGCAATAATATATAATACTATACTATACACAACACACTAAGCTATTCTATACTACACACTACATACTACTTTGTGAGTTCAGACCATGTCCTTAACAGGGTGAGAGTATGAGGAAAGACTGACTGAGCGAGGTGTGGCAGGGGGGGACTCTGAGAACTTGGGCTGGAGTTCTGGGCAGCTTCTGCGTGTTGCTAGAAGGCCAGACCCCCTCATAGCTGTAGTAGGACTGATGCAGGACTGAAGAACAGGGAGGAGATGGGGTGGTGGTGGGAATTGCGAACGCTTCGTCATGGGAATGGAAGGTGAGGATGTGAATTTATAATGTGTTAGACTGGAAGAAGGAGGGGTTTCAGGCATGTTCCTCCCCCTAAATTTCAGTCATAACATAACTATATATTATACTGTACTACACTACACTCTTAAAAAAAAGGTTCTTCAAGGGTTCTTTAGTAAAGACAATGGTTCTATATAGAACCATAAACACTCAAAGATTTGACAACAATAAACTGAATGAGCTACAAGATTGATCTACTTAAATAATTAGCAAGTCACTGAATCTAGCATAACGTCATATTACTGTTTATTGAACTCCATTTGGGTATTTTGTGTTATGTATCATTTTATATAATAAATACATTTTTAGATTGTAAAATAATTAGAAAAGGTAAAAAATGTCTGTGTATTACGTTTCTATCTGGACTAAAGGTTGGCCTACATTTAATGATGTTTGCATGCCCTGTCGTTGCCATTCTGGTGCTGAAGAGTTGTTTGTCCTGTTTTGCATTGGGTGTCCCATGTGGTGGCATATTTAAATAGCAAAATAAGCTCACTTCCCTCAGTGCAATGTGTACACGCTGTGCTGTTAGCGAACACACTAAAAATAGATCATGTAGGCTATAATAACTGTAAAACTGCAAAATAGCAAGTCCTTTGTTTCACATATTGCTTCCCATTACCCATAAATCAGCGAATGTGTATCTCAGGTGGAACAAAACTGAACAGTTAGTAGTGTTTGGGTTGAATTGAGCACTATGTGGGATATCAAGTGCAAAACAAAGCAAATTGTTCTTCTATGGTAGTGCGCTGACCATCAAAAGTTTGGGGACATTTTCTGTGTTTGATTTTTGCAATCACTTTACAGTTAAAGAGGAGCTCCACTGATTTTTCAAAATCTCTGTATAATTCTATCATTAAGATTTAAACAAAGTATTTCAGAGTGGTAGATGTGAAATATACCATTCTAGAGAAACGAATTGAGTCAGAATTGTTCACAGTGGTGATAATAGGAACCAGACCTCTGAAATGTTTAATGGCTCAAAAAAGGATATTTCAGGAAATGGTTACAAACATTACCTGATGCCTGATTTTTACAACAGTTTTGTGGTAAAGTTTTGGCCTGAAATGTATTTTTTCAAACCTACTCATGGTGGAGAGGTAAACGCTGGGCGTTATACGGAGAAATAGTCCCAATTTTTTTTTTTTCCTGATTTACCACTGAGTTACTATTATCAATATTACATATAAAAACTCAGAAGACGCATGTAGGTTCACTGGTGGTTTCGGATAGTCATCAAAAGTCTGCGTTAGCGACACCTGTTTCCTATCACCACCACTGTAAAGAAAATCAGAGTTGGTCAGTTTCTCTAAAATGGCACATTTCACATCAAACCATCCTGAAGGACTTTGTTGACATCTCAACAATCGAATGATTCCCCTTTAAGCCAAAATGCTTGCAAATATTTTGTTACCATTAACAGGCTGTTTTGCAGTACTTGTTCAACAACCTGCCTAAATGTTTATTTTCTTTCCAAACTATTGTTAAAAGCTCATATTGAAGCTCTTTTACCGCAAAGATGGTTTAAACAGCAGTGCTGAGTGCTGACATCATGGGATATGGCATCAGTATCACAAATGTTTACATGTGACATTATTTTCCTAAAATTAAACCTGCTTAGTCTTAAGTAATTGCAAACCAAAAAAGAAAACACACGATTAAGGTGATTAGCAGTGTAAATCTAAGGGACTTTTTGTTCTATATTTGCTCTGAGTGTGCTGTCAAATTACATGTTCCTGTTTAGAATTGTAGGCCTTCACAATAGCTGGCAAATCCTAAGCATTTCCACTTCAAGGTAAAAATCACCTTTAATAATGGACCACCTCACCTTGCAGGTCAGAACAGTTATAATTATCAAAACAACTGTGTTGCAACTGCTTAGCACACTCAAACCAAAACCATTTTCTGATAAATGATGCATTGCCAGAGAACAAAAAGTTCTCTCTGTTTTCCTTTCATTTTCGTTCCTCTTTAAGTGAAGTCGAGTAACACCGATAACAGTGCGGGGTAACAGGATAATCTGACACAAAACAAAGTTAATACAGCTTTATCTGTATTACTTTGAGTACTCTTTGCGCTTTTACACCTGTGATACGTGTTGTATGGGGACTGTGGTCAAGTTTGTGGTCACCAAGACATGCCAATTTTTCAATATTTCTGCCTACTTGATTGCTGAGATATGAACAAGGAAATTCAGAGTGGCTTGATGTGAAATGCTCCTTTCTAGAGAAATGTATAGACTCTAATAGGAACCAGGGGTCATCAAGTCTACAATGAAAATACAGCCATTTTCTTCACCACCCAAAAGGAACCAGTGAACCTACACGTCTTCTGAATGTTTATACGTAATGTAGATAATGGTGGTAAATCTGAAAAATAAAACTTCCTGTGTGAACTACTTCGCCTTGTAATGCCCTGCATGTAGCTCTCCACTGTGAATGGAGCTTAAAAATACATTTTAGACCATCATAAAACAATGTCTGAGTCATCAGTCAACATGTGACAACTTTCTGTGAGCTACCTTCAGATATCTGGTCGCTGAAACTTTGTTACCATCTTGATTTAATCACGCAGAACTTCTGAGAAATCGTTGGAATTGCTTTATAAGTTTCAACAAATTCCACTGCGGCCTATAACGAAAGCCAAACCTGACCTAGTTGACCCATTATCATAGTAAAATTTAATTATTCCCTTCAACAGTCGCTCACACACTCAATGCAAGGTGTTCATACAGTACAACCACCTGCTATACAGCTTAACATGATTACAAGAAAAGTCATTATCTTCCATGAGCAAGACAGATGTACAGCATGTCTTGTGAAACTGCAGTACTTTACTGCCTGAAGCTTTTCCAAGAAAACACCTGAATTTCAAAACAACATCTGTCTTTTAAGTAGAAGGAAACACACTGGCATATTCAAAGGCCTCCAAGTCAAGATCCATACTTAGAAAAACACACAGACACTGAAAGAAAAGCCTCCATTCTTTGGAATCTTGTTTTAAGTGGTTAGCCACAACAGACATGCTGACAGCAAAAGTAAACTTAGGATTTTCCTGGACTTTGCAGTAGAGTTCCATGCCATAACAAAAGTGGTGTAATAGTCCACAAATCCATCTTATGGACATGTTTCATGACTGAGAAACCATCTGAAGCCTTTCTGCTTCACCATCTGTTGTATTCAATTTGGTGAATTAATCACACCAAAGATGCTTGAGGTTTTTGTGTAACTTTTATTACAAAATGATTACCAAAATATAGTTTTAACATGAAAAAAGTCTAGAAAATACATTCATTTCTTTACACGAGTGCCATAAACATTACATTCAATGTGTTCCAAACCTGAAGTTTTTTGGAAATGAGGAAAATCCTACCTATTTTTGGAATGTTAAGTACACTTCAGAGTGGCATAAGTTCAAAGCTTAATGAAATGTTGTGCATAATCCCTGTACTTATATTGATTGCTGTTAAAACAACAAAATAAGGCACCTTGAACGAACACGGCTCGTCATCTTTCCGATGCTTCTAAGGCTAATTGTGCCTGCGGCGGCTTTGTGCTGTGTTGCAAATAATCATATTTACTAAAACCACTGGCAAAAACACAAAAGCCAATCAGCACTATTCTCAGAAAAGAAAGATCATTCCCAGTAACATTGGTATATGTAGCTTTGCATTCGATTCCTTAAGACATTTAAATCCTGATGGCCAGCTACGTGACATCAGTCCAATCTTTCTCAAGCCTGAGAAGTTACTAACAAACTTCAAAAGCACAAGGGCGGCTTTCTGTTCAGGAAAAAAAAACAAAACAAAAAAAAACACAAAGTTTCTGCTTCCATGATTCTCATGCAATATCTGACAAATCTCCTTGGCACACAACTTAACTTTTTTTTTCCCTTATGCCCAGTATTACCCGTGCATTTCACTGCAGGTCTGAACCTGCACATTAGACTCTATCTCACCTGCATACAGCTAAGACCTCATGAGAGCTTAGATCAACATTATTTCCTTGATGGTAGAAATAAATTGGGTAAGCAATGCACTTTGGAAACTTTCTGGCTACCACTGATGGTCTAACATTTAAAACATTACAGCCCCAGCTAACAGATGGTTATTACAGGATATGGAGTGGTAGCAATAAACCACCCACTTTAAATACAGAAAAAGCCACCTAACCGTTTGACCTACATGGTCAGGCATTAAATGTTTCATGTTTTTTTGGTTTAGCCTTCTCCAAAACACATTTTCCTCTGATTCCACCAAACATAAGCTTCATAGGTTGACAATCATTGGTGGGCACTGACCAGAGTCTGCTTACAGACAGATTAAGGACGTTTACATGACCAGAAAATCCATCCACCTTTCACCATGTGTCCTTTTCTCTCTTGAAAGAACTTGAAAGGAGTCCGTCCGGCCACTTAGTCCAATCTTTTCCTCCTTCTCCGCCCCCTTCTCAGTGGTACCGAAGACCCTTGGGTGATGAGGCAGCTTCCAAGGGATGGGTACCAGTCTCAGAGATTCCAGGGCATCCAGAAGAAAGCAAATCTCTTGCTTCGTTTCAATCAAGACATCATCAATTGATGCTCAGATGCAACGGTGTTCAACATGTCATGCAGCGGGGTCTCATATTGAAGGGCTGAGGGTTTGGGTCCACCTGAGGATGGAACCAAAATAGAGCTTTTAGTAATCAAGGCATTTCGACATAGAAGAGGTCTGTGATCAACGTTGGCACCACTGTCATTTTCTTCTTTTAATGTTTAGGGGTAAAACAAAACCAGACTTTCATTCTGATATCAAGTGCACCATCACAATGCTTGATACCAAAACAATACTATGGCCAAAAAAAAAAAAAAACACTTGGCATCATCTGAACACCCATTGCTTACAGGATTGAACATGTGTCTCTTTTCATTTGAGTCAAAGTAGCAATTGCAATGCGCTTTGCTCAAAGGCAGAATGTCAATTTGATATTAACCTCTTTAAATCAAGAAATAAATGTATAGAATAGTCTAGGACTTTGAAAAACACTGAAATTTCAATGCACTGTGCAACATTAGTCTGCAAGTCAGTTGCTTACCTCGCTGTACACAGGAGGTGGCCTGAATCTGAATTCCTGCACATAGGCCATGAAAGGACGCTCTAGCACCCCACTGAGGTCCTCCTCCTGCCGAGTAGCTGGAGAATTCTGGATGGCCTCCTCCTCAGTCACAATTGAGCTGTATTCAGGAGGAGCTGCGGAAAAACATAAGGAGTCAACATATGGGCCATGTATTTGAAAAACAACTGAAGATGAGCAGTATTGAAGTATGATTCAGATACTCACGCTCAGGCTGCTCGGGGATGGCCATGCGGAGCCACTCCATGTTTAGACTGTAGTGGCTGCTGACGCTGGAGGTGCGGCTGCCAAAAGGATGGAGTGGGATAGTTCCCATGACCAGTGGAAGGTCCAGGCACAGCTTAGAGGTCCCAGGAACATCCACACAAACCTAACGAATCAATAAAAGACACTGAGCATCTGACGCTGCCTTCAACCCTAAAATCGCTGTTTCCCCAAAAGTTCTGGAGCCCCTCTACACTGCATAGTTTTGAGTATGGAAAGCATCTCCACCGTACTCCAAAACCTGTTCCAACACCTGTTTCACCTGCTTCAGTATACCTAATTCAGCTGAAGAAGAAGTTGATAATTAGCTAGAGCAATGAAAACACAAAACTATGCACTGCAGAATTGCCCCAGGACTGAGTAAACAGCAGGTCAGATACAAAAACATCAGAACTCACCCTGAGCATGTACTCCACTTTGATGATGCGACACTGGAGGATGGAGGGGCCTACAGGAGGGATTTTGATGGCTCTGCCATGCCAGGTCTCTCTGCGTTGTGCTCCCACTACATCTCCAGTCAGTGTAGCTACAACAGATCGTTTCTGCTTCATGGTGCCCCTTGCAATAAATGTCTGTGTTTGCGTGATGTAAGCCTTAGGCACCACAGACCGTGAAGTTGAGTTGTCAAACTCTGCGAAAACTGGGATCACTTCACCTAAGGAGTGACAACAGCATGTTAGTGTTTGTTTCTTTTTAGGGCCTTTCATTTTAAGGCTTTAGAGTTCTCCAAATATGCACTAGGTTTCAGTCCTCACCTGGTGTATAGCCTTTACGGTCAATCTTTGCAGTGATAGAAACCTGTCCAAAGTTTCGGTACCAGGCACGAGCCATCTTTTCTTTAGTTCCAGCCTGAGGTGCCTGCATATTACATGAAAAACAACATTCAGAATGCAGTTTTTTCTCTTTAAAACTAGATTTACGTAAAATACATGGAAGATTAACCAGTCAAGCTTACAAGTAGGGATGGTGTGTTGATGTCAATGGGCTCAATAACTGTAAACTCCTTCTTGATCTTCTTCACTGTGCACCAGGGCCGATGCAACTTCACTTTCACCCAGTAGCGAATGCTGCCATGCTTGCCCTCAAAGGAAGTCACAAGTGTCCTGAAGGAGTAAACACATTGTTATTTTTCACATCCATAATAGCCTGGCTGAAGAAAAATTGCTTAATATCGAAAATATCATGTGGCAAGACTAATCACAAAAGGCAAACTCACTCCTCAGGCAGCTGGAAACTGAAGGGATATTCATGTCTACCAGCAGGAAGGGTGGTCAGTTCCCCATTATCTGTGGGAAAAAGATTAGCAAAGTACAGTTCAAAACCTGAAATCCATCCTGAAAGCTGTGTTTCAGCAAGTGTGCTTAAGTCAGACAGTCCTGAACAACAACAAGCATCACCACTGACGCTCTGCACTGCACTACTCACAAAGACAATAGGACCTGGACAAAAACAAACTTAGCTCAGACTGTCCAGTTTCAGACAGCAGCTCCTTTTCAAGCATGAAGGCAAAAATACCTTCTTAAAAAGTACATTTCTATTCTCAATGCGGCTTTTCTACACGATCTCAGAAACAAATGTGAGTGTTATTTAATGTGAGTCTATCTACGATTCAACTAAAGCTGTAAGTGATGGGCCTTGCTAGGGAACACTATTAAAGCACACACAAGCCAACTGAGCTACTCATTCAGTCTGAATGACTGACCTGCCTGCAGAAGCACCTCTCTTTGGTTCAGATACTCCACTTCGTCGCTGTAGTTCTGAGTGTAAGCCGTGCTGGAACCAGCACTGCGAGACTCCGTCCAGTGGACTTTTGCAAAACCCTCTGCATGTAGTTTCAATGACTCCAATTTACTTTCTGCAGACGTCTCGAGCACGACTTTCCCGGACACCACATCTCCGCTGCTGAACACCGGAGGCGAGTCGATTTCGGGCGAGTCGAAAACAATGTCAAACTTTTTCAGCCTGTCGAAAATCATCTTCGCTCCTCGCAAGTTGTCAAAACGAAAGCTCAGACTTGCTTGTTCGAGTCAGGGTCGGCGAGAGGAGCGCGTTTAAAGTACTGGGGAGTGGTCTGCGTCGCCTCCAGTCCAAAACAATAACTGAAGGGCTTCATGGCTCTAGACTACCTTTAACTCTGCAAACAAGGGGCGGGGCCTGCCACATTATTATGTAAAAGTCACCAGTGAGAGAGCTAATCAGCAGCTCGGCCTGGAGGTGGACGTGCGGAGGGGGGCGGGGCCCTGTCCGATGATTGATGGCTCCAGGTTCTTAGTCGAAAACAAGCTGACTGAGCATGCTCAAAACCACCGAGGAACACAGAGATTCAAAACATAACACTGCCGAAAGCTGTTTAGCCTGTTTACGTTGTTTAGTCTGGATTAAGCATATGCAAAACTTTTTTGCATATGCTTTTTGTTTCTTTTTTTTTCCAAATGAAACTTACAATGAATTAAACACATAAAAATGCACGACTTCATGAAATGCATGAAATCAATGGAAAAGCCTATTTGTCAGACAGTAAACGAATGAAAGACGATTATCTGCACTCAGACAACATCAAGCGGCTCAAAGCCAGGAAAAAATAGGATAATGAAGAAAAGAAAAGAAAACACACAAAACAACAAGGAAACAAAGGGGAGGAAAAACAAAGGAGTTAAAAAACTGTCATATCGCCTCCTTGTGGAAAGTCAGTTGGTCTTTCTTATTCAATGAATGGGACAAAACTTTTGGACTCGTGGCTTTTCTCTGTAACTCTGGCTCCCTCTAGTGGTTATAAACCCAAACTGCAGAGAGCCTCATCACTTCACTACCCTGGTCAACAGTGCACACAAAGACATATTTCCTACAGGGTTAATGAGTTTAAAGTATGCAAAAACGTAAGTTTTCTCAAGATGTAATACTCATTTGTACCACAAATCACCCAATACACAACAACAGAGGTGAAAACAGTGCTATAAAGAAAATCACTTATTTTAAAATGAATGTGTTCATGAAGGCCAACATTAGCATATAAATTATTAACCTGCTATCATTAAAAAGGGAATTCCATCGATTTCCGAATCAGTCGTTCAGTTGTAAACAAAGTCATTGAGACTTGTTTGCTGTGAAATGGTTCACTGTAGAGAAATGTACAAGATTTCTTTACAGTGATGGGTCACATTGTCTACAATGCAAATATAGCCATTTTAATACTATCCAAATCCACCATTGAACCTACTTGTGTCTTATGAGTTTTTAGTTGTAATGTTAATAATAATAAAAAAGTGGTAAATCTAAAACAAATAAGTTTTCTTTGTGAAATATTTTGTCTTATAAAGCCTGTATGTACCTCTCCACCATCAGAGGAAAAGAATCAGGCAAGACATTATATATAATAGCTTTCTGTGATGTAGCTTTTGGAGACATTACATGCTTCAGACGTCTGGTTCCTATCACCACCACTTTGAACAATTTTGACTCAGCAAACTTCTCAAGAATAGCACATTTCACATCACAAGACTCTGTTTAACTTGGTTTACAAAAATGTGGTGTATTTCCCCTTTAATAGAAGAAATGTAGACATTTGGAGTGACAGCACCATCTTACCATGTGCATTTTCAACTGTAAAGTCTATTGTATAGCTTAAGTCTATTGTATAGCTTAAGGGCCCTTTTCTTTCCACCACTGCACATATTCCTGTCTGTGTCTTCATTATTATGCCACATCGTAGACAGAAAATGTTTTGAATGTCATTCTCTGCACAATCTAGTAACAATGTGTCTGTGTCTGGTGGTGCACTTCTGTTGTTTCAGTAACAGAGTCTGTACTGTCAAAAGAATAACTGAGAGGCCTTTGTGATCATTACTTTTGTGATCAGTAATTAATTAATCGATTCCTCACACCTTAGTGCAAATACCTGAAAAACAGCCTACAGTTTGCTGATTCTCAGAATGTCCCTGTAATAATCTAATTCAATGCATCCAGTTCATGAATACTTGTCTAAATGCAAATAAACAAGTAAATAAATCAATGAAATAAATGATCAGACTGCGATAAAGGAGGTGAGCGTTATGGGAAAAAAACATAATATCACAATACTTCAAGACGTTTTCACGATACACAATGTGTCACGATATATATTTAAGGGCTGTCTATGCATCGGCCCTATTATCAGAAGATAATAAGCGACTTTGATAACCAGTGATGCTACAGCCATCTGTAGTGAGTGGAATTGGATGGATGGGGGACAAAAAAACTATGAATACAATGTTTTATATTAAATATTTTACATACTATGCTACACTGAATCCAATAAAACATCTAATTATGCTCTCCTTGTAATCAAATATGTAGCTGGGAAGTGTTTTTATTAAGTGTTTTATTAAGTGTTTACGAATTTCCCTGTTGTGGGACTAATAAAGGATTATCTTATCTTATCTAAATACAGATGAGATCCACAACATGCTCAGAAAACTTACTGTGGCATATTGTGATGTAAGTTTTCATGATAACAATAAATATTGTCATATTGCCCACTCTGGCAAATATTTGAAATCGATGATGTATTTATTGTACTTCGTAAAATGTTACTAAACTGCATACATTTTATTAATTCTACTGCATTTGTAACCCTACAACAATAAATGTTCTATTTCTACCAATGGATTTAGTTATCTTTTCTACAATTTACAAATGTTTATATATTCGCATTGGATGATATGTACATAAAATTACCTGTTAATGGCATCATCCCACAACTCCCATTCAGGTGCATCCCTACTTAGAAAAATACCTTATATTCATGTGTATATCTATTTTGTACGCTGCCACCATCACGTTTCACTACACTGAGATAAGAAAGAAGAGTACGTGTTGTTTCCACATGTATCCACTGCTTGCCGCAGTCAAGCCCTTTTTTATCAACTTACATGGAAGGGTTAAAGGGCAACATGCTACATGTGTCTAATAGCATACTAAGCTGTTTGTTTCCGCTTTTGACCTCAACAGATTAATGATCAGCCAAATGAGTGTCTAGCTCAGCTTTTCTGGACCTTTTAACCAAACACACTGCCTACAAGATGGCTGGACCAGTCTAGAGGGTACCTACATCAACCTCCAGCTCCAAACACAGACTCACAGCCCAATTATATGCCCAATATGCAAGCTAAGGAAAAATTCAGTTTAAAATGCCAGGCAATCAATTTTAACCCATCAGTGATGAGAGAAAATGTCACACACTCCTAAAAAAGATGGTTCATCAACCATGAGGTCTATCTAGAACCATTGCCTTTGCTAAAGCACCCCTGAATAACCATCTTTTTTAAATGTGCACAACTTGGTCTAAAGTGATGAAAGTTTGAATAGTTTTGCCTTGGATGTAAATCTAACAACATTATTTATTTTATTTTTTAAATGATTTTGTAATTGTTTTGCTGGAATCTGCAGAGTATGTGATCAAAAGACTACATTACATATGAGAAAATGTGATGAAACTCACATTCATCATCACATATGATTGATTGACTGAGATAATGAAGATAATGTGACCTACAAATGTTTCAGATATTAATGAGTAAGGATTAATAACTGAATAATAAGCCTGTGGTTTAATAGGTTACAGGTCTGATCTACAAGCTGATAAGTGAACTTAAACCTAATGTTACCTACCTCGAATGAGCCGCTGTTTCTTTCGGAAGTAGATGACTTTGGAGGTGTAGTCGCTGTAAGCTGTGTTGACTCCAGCGCTGCGGTTCTCCAGCCAGTGAGCTGTAGCGGCTCCTCGGCCAAACACAACCAGCCCTGACAGCTTCAGCTCCCCGCGGAGCTCCAGCACAACCTTCCCACTAACCACCTCCCCGCTGCTGTACACGGCGTCGCTGGGTCCGTCCAGTTCAAGCGCAAAGCGTCTGATACTTTGGAGAGTCATGGCTATGGAAAGAAAAACGGAATTAAAAACCGAAGTATTTGCTTTTGGATGGATGACTGGATGTTAACTAGCTTTAGTTATTTTGACCAACTTAGCTAGTTAAGTAACCTAGCTAACAACCGGTTTCAAGAGTATGGAACCTACACAAATTTCAACAATTCGCTATTGTTTAACGTTTTCATTATTCATCAGAAACCTACTTATATTAACAGAATAACTTCAGTCTCTTGTTTGAGTTTAATAAACATTAAATTAGGCAAATACCTTATCCTCAGTCCGCAGCGTGCTCGAACGCAGCCACCTGTCCACTTTACTATAATAACAGAAGCAGTGAAATATATGCCGCCTGCTGTTTGGACCCCGCCCTCTTCTGAACGCTCCAATAAGATAAGACAAGAGACGACGGCCACGCCCTCCTTCAGCACACTGACTAACGGCTCTCACAAGAATTAAGTGGAGGACCCTGAACCCAAACTCAAGTACAAATGTAGAAGCGTCGTTACCATTTTTAAATAACGACTCCGGCAAAATAGAAACAACTTTCCGAAAAAACGCCTTGAGTATTAGTACAAAAGTACCATTTAAGAAACCTACACTACCGTTCAAAATTCAGCATTGGTCAGAAAATACTAGTTATTTGCTATTTAGACTGAAGTGTTAAGCTATACGCCAAGATGAAACCCTAATAAAAAAACAACACAGCTGCTCACCAGTAAAACCAGCATATGTTTGGAAGCTTTTATGGTGATCAGCACCAAAACCAGCACGTCCAAAGAAATATAAGTATCTCTACAGGAGAAGCCAAAAACCTTATTTACTTTAAATGGAAGTTAATGTTAAAAGATTTTGTTCCAAGCAATTGTACTGGTCCGTTTATCATTAAAAAAAAAATACACAATGCAAAGTGCAGGTGCTGAGCTCAAATAATGCAGAAAGGTAAAAATGGCAAAAATGGAGATACCTTTTTAATCCACCTGTGACAGAAATTATATGTTGTGTTTTGGATGCTGGGATGGTGGTCAACCAAAATGACTATGCTGGGTGACCAGCTAGACCAGAACCAGACCAAAACTAGTCCATCATAAGATCAAAACATGGAATTGATGGTTTATATTATTCAAAACAGTGACTGCAAACTTTTGAACGTTATGTACGTAATATATTGTCACTGTACAGTAGTGTAAATAACTGAAGCAGAACTTCCTATTCAGCATCTATCAGCATGGAAACGGAAGTTTGTTTGGCACTACTCTCTTTTTGATTTACTCTTTGACTAAAATGAAAAATGTCACACAAAAATGGAATTAGTCACTAAACATTAACACTCCAAAGTCCAAAGACATGCGGTCAGGCCAATTGGACATGCTAAATTGTCCCTAGGCGTGAGCGTGTGTGTGAATGTATATGTCTGTCTATCTGCACTGCAATAGACTGGCAGCCTGTCCAGGGTGTATCCTGCCTTCTGCCCACTGACCGCTGGGATAGGCTCCAGCTCCCCTTGTGACCCAGAAGGATAAGTGGCTTAGACATATTAACACTTCATTTTTTCACGTCAATAATGACATGTAAAAATAAAATTAGCAACCAAAACCAACTTGAATAAGAGGAATAAGAAAAAGTGTCAGGTCACTTTGTTAGCCGCTGTTCTCCTTTTTTGGGATCCTTTTGGTCTAAAATAAAATGCTAAAGTGAAAAGTGAAGAGTGAGCAATAGCAAAGCTGGACCAACAGAACAGCACTGACACAAAGCAATTAGAAACTGAATGTGAACGGCTAACTGAACTGAGTGAAAAGTAGATTCCTTCCCTCAGTAGTATACTGGAGAGTGAGTAAAGGCGTTATCAGCTGAAAGTCCTCAGAACAGAACACATCCAACAAAAGGTGACTTAAACACATGGAACTGTGTTGTATAATGGAACTGGCTACTACTCACCTCTGGCCATGACGCACCAGTGCATGATTAGCCTAAAGTATGTGCAAATACTTCCAGGATGGCTGTGTTCCTCCAAGAAAGAGAGGCGTCCTTTAATGCCCCATTTTGATTCTTTGTATATTTGCCTATATAAGAACCAAATGGACCAATGTTGTTCAAACTCCAGTCCCACAGTAAAAAAAAAAAAAAATTAAAAAGTATTCAGAACTTAGATATTTATAAGGATTATGTTATGATCATATTATGATCTATTTATGTTTATATTCTTTTTTGCATTTTTGTCAATATCGTTTTTATAAATATAGATTTTAATTTATTATAAAGTGAAGTTGAAAGATTTAGATTTATTATCAATTATTTTTAAATACAAAAACTACCAAAACACATATGATGTTAGTCAGTAGACAGAGCCTTGTTTTAGCCACACCCTTGGATTTTAGAGCAGGAATGGTGAGCAGTTGGATCCCATTATTTTGGAGTAAGTGTGTCCCAAAATCTGAAACCTGACCAGTGTGTAACATTAAGAATTGTCATTACCAAAACACACACTTCCTTTGTGTGTTAATGAAAATATTATGAATTTAGCTGTTCAAAGCTGCGTCATGTACTGGCTAGCTGGCAAGTTTTGCTCAAAATGAGCATTGCAATGTTTAGTAGTGAAAAATAGATTGTTTAATCATTAATTTCAATGAAATAAACCAAAAATTAAGGTATAGAGTTTCTCAAAGCAAAATGATGTTAGTGTAGTTCTCTGACTTTGAACCAATTCAGCAGAATGATCCATATCCATAAAAAAAAAACACAAAAACTTAGCTGCATCAATGACACAAGTTCACATTCTCATCAACTGTATGAAATAGATACAACATAAACAAATACATTTAAAAAAAAAGCTTTACCTTTAGAACCATTAATGAATAGGCTCATTATTAGCTAACATGCTATTCATTTGCTAAAAGTGCATTCAGCCATGCTCCAAATGCTTTTAGTCAGGTGAGTTTGTTTTGGTGAGTGTGGTGTAAGTATATATCTTCAAATCTTGCTTGAGACTACAAGCAGAGTGAAAGTAAATCCCACTTTGCCCCAGA